AATCCTGATTTTGACTCCTTTTCATTTAGCAGTAAACGACGGTCCCCTAATCCGGTCATCAACATATCAATACAAGTCAGCTAAACTGAACCACAACTCTGCCAGAGAGGTCTGTAGGGGTCCCTGTAGCGGAGTTGCTGCTGTGTCTGTACCGCTGGTAAACAACCGCAAGGGAAGCCTACTGCCCCCCGCTGAGCCCTCTGCTCTGAGGCTGAGCTTCATGGGCTCCGGGGACCTGGGCCAGGTGTGCCGGCTACCAGGGGTGGCAGAAGAGGCAAGCCGGCTCCAGCGGGCACGTAGCCTTCCGGTGAAATACAGATACCACCCCAGTCACTCCAATAACGCCACACTCAGTCACAGGCACTGTAAGGGCCGCCTCCCCCCTCCTCTTGGCGTGTTTGGCAGGCCTGTATTCAACTACAGCGCAACCAAAGCATGTGCTTGCCAGGCTGGAGTGGTTGCATGTGTAGCATTCCTTACTAATGACCCAGTGTGTGCAGCTGTCAGCTGTGAAACATTAAATATTGAACAGGCCGAGCAAGATGTGAAGGGCCAGTGTGTTGGAGCATCCCTCTCTACTGAAAGCCCCCCGTACTTCAACATTTTCCATTATGGTGTCACTCTAAGACATGTTATCAGTACTTGAAATCCTGTGTTCATCTGCAGAGGAGCATGGTTTTTGAGACTTTTTTTCTTTTTCTTTTGAGCTCTTTTAGTTTCTCTGTGAAAAAAAAATACAAAAAAACCTGTTGACAGCTTGAACCATCATTAAAAGATACTCAAGCGTATTTTCCCTGACCTGTAACAAGCTATTCCCACTATTAACAATGGCTGTTAAAATGCGATTATCAAAAACACATTCCGTGCTGCTTGTGTTTATTTTACCAGCAACTGCTACAGAGTAGAGTTGTTTTCTTCAACTGTGATATTAGCTCGTGAAAATATTTTCCTGATTGCTTTACTCAAGGGTAAAACTTGTAATTCGTTCCCTATAAAGAGCTGTGTAGTTTCGTGTAGTGATAAAGACAATGTCCAAGGGGCATCTCAGCTGTACATAAATCACTCTGGCACGAGGACCAAGCTAATTATATGAGCCAAGGGCGTCACTCCCAAGATGAAGAAAGACCAGCAATCCAGACTGGATTCAGAATTGGCACAAAAGAAGCCTTATTTATAATGTTGGATGCTTGATGTTTATACGTTATTACCTTAATTAAATGAGAATGTGAGTGATTAGCATGGCCAAACGAGAAGCTATCCAAGCCTTAGTCTGAGGAAATTTACACTAACAAGGGACTGAAAAATTAAAGTACCCTAATACCCTTTGATGTATTTGTGGTACTACATTATTATCTGAATTATAAACTTGTTGACATGTGGATTACAGCAATTCGCTGGATTAGAGTGTGGTGAATAAAACCTCACAGATTAGACTTTAGCTATTGGCATGATGGTTGATGATGGCACTATTGCATGTTTGCATCTTCATACACAATCATGCAACTCTTGTGCTAATGTATCCTGTCGTCATCATGCAAACATTGGACTGTTTCCGTTGCACACTAGTTAAAGTGTCCTGTCCATGCCATCTTGTTCACCCAACCTCTTTCCACTCTGTATCTGTAACCGTATTATCTCTTTGAATTCACTGACCTCAAAATCGTGCTGTGTTGTTCTTTCGCTGTCACTGATCTTAGATTTTTGCGAGTCTTCTGATAATTCGCTCCCTCATACCGTTGCCTTTTGTTTCAGTTGAAGAGGACCAACAGTCGGCGTTATCGCCTAAAAAAAAGCAACGTAATGGAGGAATGAGAAATTCTCCAAACTCTTCACCCAAGATAATGAGGTAGGACAACAATATCATTTCTGCTTCATCTTACTGTGTTTTGATTAAGTATACATTTCAACATATTAACATTATTTAATAATAATAATTTAAACGTGGATCAACTGTTTGTTTTTTTGGCCACTTGGGGGCAGCACATCAAGCTGGAAACAAAACACTAAGATTATTGAATGGGTTAACAAACAGTTGCCTATACTGTATATATACATCCACAACAGATGAACATTAACATTAGAATGCATTTAAAGTCGTGTTTCTGTTACCCCAACACATGTTAGTCCAATATTTACCCTCCTTTTAACTCTCTTTGGTCTCCACCAACTCCTTAAAAACATTTCTGGCTCTTTAGCTGCTAAATGTTCCTTTATGTTCACGATTTTGTTGCTAACTGTCTGTCTGCGATAACAGCTGATGTGGTTGGAAATGAGGTTGATAAGGGCATTGAGAATAAACAAAAAGCAAGTTGTGGGTGGAACACCAAAACAATATGCTGAAAGATGATAAAATGTTGTGTAGAGCTAAGGGGAGCTGCAGTTAGGTGGTAATCCTCTGTTGGTTCGTTTGACATATTGTTAAATAAAAAAGGATATTTATCCAAAATAATTTTATTATGTGTTCATATTAAAAAACAAATACATACTTACATATTGTTTTTGGTTTTCTCTCAAATATCGATATTAGTTATCAATCTCAAAAATCCACTATTGGGTCGGATTCAGTAGTATGTATTACAGAAAACAACAAGGCATTTTTTTGTGCTCTTGTTTTCATGGCAAACATGTCTGACTTGCAGAGAGGCTCTTTGCCACGAGGTTTCAAGTGACACCCACAGACTACAGCTCTTAAACAGGCCTGGCACTAATGACAGCACCAGCTAGTCAGAGAGGCTCTAAAGGATAGATAGCCCAAGGCTATTCATCTATTGTCGTATCCCTCTGAGCTCTTCTCAGCACGTAAGGCCACAGATGATATGTATCATCCCAATGAAAGGTGAATTCAAATGCTACCTTGCTTTTATCTTGTCCCATAAAATTAAATCGCCGCTTATTGATTTTGACTGGAGATAACACTGTTATTCAACAAGAGGCCATTACAGGGATGATAATAGTAATAGTCATTGTCATTAAGTGCCATGTTAGAAGGAAGCAAGGCTACAGGGAAGTCCTGCAGGCTGACGTATACAAAGTGGAATTGTACAGATGAAATTGAATTAAAACTGACAGATGACTTTATGTTCCCATTGTTAATATAGATGCTGTTCATTTGACATTTAGAAATGAAATCCACAAATGTCTGTATTGTTTAACACTATGAGATTCAATATGTGTAAGCAATATAATAGAGTAGTTATAAAAATAGCTTTCTATTATATGTAGAAGGAGTCTTTATTCATCTAATTTAGCATTTTCCTTTGATCTATGGCCTCTCTTTTTTCAGGTAGGTTTTTGCCCTTGTTTGATCGTTTGATTTGGTTCAAAGTGGTGTCAAAGTTGATTCGCTCCAGGTCATTTCCAGACACTTGGGTAACAAAACCAGGCTTTTCTAATGCTATAGCCATCAGCTAAATATCATCCCACCAAACCAATCCATCTACTTGCCATGCTAATACACACTACAATACAGGTGGATGTGTTATTTCATCCAGTGTATCTGCTGCCTACACGCTGCTGAGGGATTCGCTGCGGTAGCCTAAGGGATACTTCATTGCAACAAGCGGAGAAAAAAACATCTTGGTGTATACTATATCAAATGTGTTTTTATAGGACCTGCGGCCTCAAGGCCTTTGTAAATAAGTAATGATCAACAGATTGGCTGTGGGTTTTGAAGAGCAAGCCTTTGTCAGTTTGCATGATAGGGAGGATTTTCAAAGACTTTGCCTGTCCTCACTGCTTGTACAGTGTTACAGTCAGCTAGTGCAGCGATGCTGAAATAGAAAATTTACATAATATGCATGTTTAGCTTCTACTTTATGTCTCTCTCAGCTGTCATTACGCTCCTCTAGAAGACACCTGGCTTTATGTTTGGCGGTCATGACGTGTGAAGTCTTGTCAAATGTGTCATCTTACTACTAAAGCAGTGAATTATGCTGCTGATCATTTTGAATGTTTAGAAGTGCGCTTACAGAGATGACACTCACAGACGCCTCTGCTCTGTGTAATGAAACGAAACGCACAAAAGAAAAAAGCAATCAGCTGTGGAAGCAGAACTGTCTCCTGTTTCCAGATGTATCAGCAAACTAACACGTCCTGTCTGGAACTTAGCAATGACGACCTTACTGAAATTAACACCATTTCCACAGGCTCCTTGATGGGTCATAAGACACATCTAATTGTGGGATGTCACAACGCGTTCGGTCACATCGGACCGCGCCGTGACATACACGTCATGTCTGCTACGGCACTGCTGAGGCAATTGGCAGTGCAGGATAGTGACAGGCCGTCATGGCTGACAGTGAGGGATAGCTATCCTGGCAGAGCTCTGCCTCACCAGTCATCTCCACAAGGACAAACTGAAGTGACAGGAGCTCCACTGAGTGAGTGGTGAAACATTCCACTTCTGATGAAATATTTAGGCGAGGTGTAAAACCACTAAATGCTTTCACTCTTATTAGAACTTGAATTTCAGACTCAAGCAGAAGCTGATGATGTAGAGTACAACGAGTTATCTAAGATGATTGTCATCGATAAATAGTGCTGAGTTTGTTGATTTACAGGACATTTATTAACAACATCATTTATCAAGTAAAAACATGAAACATTAGCTGGGTTCAGTTTTCTAAAATGTGAGGACTGGCTGCTTTATTCTGTTTTATATCATGTTAAATTAAATATGTTTGGGACTGTTGGTCAGACAAAACAAGCCCAATTTTTTTTTTGGTTTTTTTTTATAATTCAGACTATAGGGACATGTTTTAAGACTAATTAAAGGGATCCAGGTGTGTAGGTATTTAAGTGGCATCTAGCAGGTGAAGTTGCAGATTGCAACTAACTGAGCAATGCTGGCATCTGTATTTGACAACCTTGGAATGAGAACATGCTGTGACGTATATAGGAGAAAGAGGCCTTATCTACAGCCAGTGTTTGGATTGTCCTTCCTGGGCTGCTGTAGAAACATGGCGGTTCGACCGGTGTGGTCTGTAGATATAAACAGCTGATTCTAAGGTAACAAACTTATTTCTTATTTTCAGATGATACATATATCTATGAATGTTACATTGTATTAATATTCATCCTCCTTAAATGTTACACACTGAACTTTTAAAATAAACTGATTAATTGCGAAAATAATCAACATTAATTAATAGTTAGTTGGATCCCTACATGGAAATAAGGTTCAAAGTTTGAATGTGTTTTTCAGCAATATTTATATATTTTATATTAATAAACTAGGTAATATTTCCAGCATTTTATACTTTTAAAATAACATTTTACATACTTTCACCTACATATTTTAATGTGCGCACACAGTGTCCTTTCAAATGAGAATTGCTTTGACAGATGAGATTCTGAGAGGTAGAAAGTGGCAGAAAAGACATTTCCTTCTCCCACTACTTCCATTCTTGAAAGGACATCCAGGTCTTGCCTAGGGGTATACAAGCCCAAGGCGGGCTTTTTTGGCTTCAGTCTCTTGGAGCCCGAGGGATGGTAGTTTTAGCCGACATTTTCATGCATACTTAACATGTTACTTAAAGTAGCCTTCTTTTAAAGTACTCACATGGATTAAAGAGATGCTCTTTTTACGGGGAGAAAACTTGAAGTATTTAAAAGGTTTTGGACAGAGACAGAAGGCTTATGTCTGTGTTTTAGAAGATAATATCTTCCGCTCTGATCTGAATCTGTGTTTGGCAGCACACAGTCTCTGTAGGTAGCACTGTTGCCACTGTAGCTGATTGATCCAAATGAATGATTCCAAGTAAACTTTTAGCAAAAATTAAAATCTCTAACTAATATTAGTTATTATTATTTTTTAGGTATTTTATAAGAGTTTGCATTGCATTTATTTTACGTATAATTTTGCATATATCAGAAGAATATCTGTAATAATCAGCTATATCGCATAGTCCTAATTGCTATATGTGTTTTTCTTCTTCTCTCTTCTACTTTATCTGTGTGTGTTGACCCTGTGATAGACTACTCAGCATACGCTCTGCCGCTCTCATAATGCATGCTGGGATAGGCTATAGCCCCTGAACAGTGATAGAGGGATTGGAAAATGGATAGATGGGAAATGACTTAAGTTGGTTACAGTAGTAATAAATTAGCACAAAACTACACTTTTGGGCTAAAAGCTGGGTAAATTGAAATGCTTCAAATAAAAATCTGAGGTGTGGCTCAAGAAAATACCTTATACAAATATTTTGATGCGTACCAGACTAACATTAGACAATAGTACCTGAGTTTGGCTATGAACATGCATTTCTGTATAATCTTAGACATTTTTATATATACATATGTTTCATCTGAATGTACTTTGTTTGTTTTTTCTTGCAAATCAATTAACTGATTTAATTGTAATATTCTTTATTTTTTTAGGATTTTTTGGTGTTTTTGGTAACACAACTATCTTATATTTTAATATATCTCTAGGAACTCAAAAGATCAAATAACTCTGACAAGAACAAGCGTGGTACAACCGCAGGTACTCATGTCGGGAGACTTTAGTGGTCAGCGTTGGGGGGATGAAGCTTATGCTCAGTGAAATTAGTTTACGTAGTTCTGATGCTCTGTTTAAACATTAATACCCTTTACTTTGAAAAGCAAATATGATTGGGCAAATTGCTGAAATATTTAAAGTCTGGTCTGTTAAAGCTTTTACCACGCAGCACACTACGTCAAAAGCTGTATGCAGTAAGGGGGCGTAATTGCATCTCCGTGCTCATGCCAGTCAACGCAGTGTGTTGCTGCCATCTCCTTCCGCCTGGCTGCTGCTGCTGATGTCACTCTGCTTGATGACATGGCAGTTTTGTTGGCATTTCTGCAGATGGCCTCTGACAGGAATGAGCAAAGAGGGGAAAAAAGGAAGAAAGCAACTTGAGCACAACTGATTTGTTTGGAGATCCCTAAATATTTTGATGGTCTATTGATGAATGTTTGTGACAATTAAGTTTTTTGTTCCATTATTTTAGTCCTTTATTTAGATTTTTGTAATTTTTTTTATTGACTGATTTACTCGATCACTTGTAATCTTGAAATACTCTTGATTTTTTTTATTTTGAAAGGTGCTGTATTAAAAAAAAACAGCTCTCAGCATTATATTATAATTTTGCTCTGTTAGTCAAAACCCAGTCCTAGTTTATTTAATCCACATTTACAGTGCCTGACGGTATTCTTTCATTTCCTTCCTCCCCTCTTTTTGTTTGATTAGGCATGACCCGCTCCTCATCCCGGGGAACGACCAGATTGAAAACATGGATGAGAACGTAAAAAAATACGACTCCACGGGGATGTTTCACTGGTGCCCGTCCAAAGACATCGAGAAGGTCATCTTGGTGGGTTCTGCTCCTTTACTCGGCACACGTCATTTGTCCCTGACACTCTTCTTCCCGGTGACAGATGTGTCATGTCACAAAGCACCATCAGAGGTTGACAGGGCACTTAAACACTTTGTAATGAGGTGTTTGACATGTCATTTGCTATATGGGGGCCCTGTACATAGAACATTTCTTGTACTAATACATATGCCATTTTTCAAATTACCTTCATAGTCTATTACAGTCATAAAATGCATGATATATTTTGCTGGGTGAGACGGAAACTAAAAGAAGAGAAAGCACTAACATTAGCTTGAAAAGGCAGTTCATGACATAAACATAATTTCTTTTTTGTCTTCTTCCCCTTTCTTTCCCTGTCAGACCCGGAGCGAGGCAGCCATGACTGTTCTGAGTGGTCATGTAGTTGTGTGCATATTTGGAGATGTGAAATCTGCGTTGATCGGTCTCCGAAACTTTGTCATGCCACTGAGAGCGAGCAACTTTCACTACCACGAGCTGAAGCACATCGTGTTTGTCGGCTCCCTGGAGTATCTGAAGCGGGAGTGGGAAACGCTTCACAATTTCCCAAAGGTCTCCATTTTACCTGTGAGTACAATGACATCACATATGACAACATATTTGACAAAATAAATAACCCCTGTCTCCTAAAAATGACATTCATATGCAACTAATTTACACCTGCACCATATGTTTTGTAGGAAACGTAATGCTGGTTGGTCCGGACTGAAATACCTTGCAGTTCTGAGTTCACTATTTGGGTTTACTGTACAGTTTTGAATATAATCTAAAATATCCATAAAATAAAGTTTACCAAATGATAGAAAGGAGTCCCTTAAGGAAAAAGGTTGGAAACCACTGCTTTAAGTGATCCCTTAACCTTTTATTAAGAGCCATCATCAGGTCAAGGCCAAATGTTTATTGGCAACTTATTTAATTTGTTTTACTTCAAATATTCACTCCTGGCAACTAAAGCACAGTTTTATTATTTAATTAAAAAAAAAAAAAAAAAATAGTTTTTCCAACCAATTGTTTTTAGTAGCCTAAACCTAACAATACGTGGGACATAGGACGCAGCACATTAAGTCTTTATATTGCTTTCGTTGAACTCTGTCACTGTCGGCTCACAGCAGGAAGGTCCTGGGTGAATCCTGGCTGGGGCAGGGCCTTTCTGTGTGGGCATTTGCATTTTCTCCCCATTTCTGCGTGGGTTTTTCCTCTGGGTGCTCTTAGTTTCCCCCACCATCAAAAAAATAAATAAAATAAGTCCCATGTATATTAGGTTAATTTCTCCAGTCAGTTAGGTAGATCTGGAGTTGGTTCCTGGGCACTGCACAGTGGCTGCCCACTGCTCACTGCTTAGGATGGGTTAAATGCAGAGGACAAATGTCACTATACGTTGCACTGTGAATGATTGTATATGACAATAAAGTTGATTCCTCTCTTCTTCTTGTTCTTATTTGTCAAAGTAATTAAGCAGCGTAGAAAAGTATTTTGTAGGACACAGGGTTAAGATAAGTTTCAAGGAGGAGACCTGCAATTTAAAAGTTTCTACATTTTCATTTACCTCTTATATCATACAGGTGAGATAACAAATTCCCTCCTTCACTTCCTCTCAAAGGGCACACCGTTGAGTCGGGCAGATCTGAGGGCTGTCAACATCAACCTCTGCGACATGTGTGTCATCCTGTCAGCCAATCAGAACAATATTGACGATGCATCACTGCAGGACAAAGAATGCATCTTGGCGTCACTCAACATCAAATCTATGCTGTTTGACGACAGCATCGGGGTCTTGCAGGCTAATTCCCAAGGTAAGGAGCGCCCTATCATAGTTCACTGCACCGGCTGGAAGGGACAGGGCCCTGGCACAGAGAATATCCCTCACTGGGTGCTGCCTGGCTGACCTGGTGTCACTGCGTTTGACATTAAACCCTACTGACTATTCCTCAGGTTACTGTAACAACTGGTTTCTTCACAAACCTAATTGGTGGCAAGAAGCACAGCGTTGGTACAAAAGCCTCACCTGCCTTACACATATTTTTATATTTATAGGACTGCTTTGTAAAAAAAATATATAATGTGTATAATTTATGAATATTGCATGTCACAGCTTTCAAAACAGCAACTGAAGCACTCAGTTAGCTTGAGATGGCCTTCAATAATGGTCATTCTTTGGCATTGAGAGAAATGCTTTTAGAAACCTTTTGACCTGAGGAGAGAGAAAAAAAAATCCCTGCCAATTTCATTATTTCTCTAATACATATATGACCTCGCATTTGCATTGTCAGCAGTAAGTGATGGATGTCAAAACACAGCCTATGTATAATACATACAGCATCGCTGATTTAATGTGCTTACTTGTCAGTCTGAGGAAAGCAAGGAATGTCAAGTCAATTTGAATTCAATCTTGCGTCACTTATTTTCTATTTCATGGCTCCATACTGTACATGCTTTTGAGTATGTGTGTGTGTTTGTGTGTGTGTGTGTGTAAAAGGTTTCCATCTCTATGCACACACAATCTAAGGAAAACAAAATGAGCAGTATGTCACATCTATTATATATGGACTAATATTGGACCTTGTCAAGAATATGGTAACATCGCACTCAGCAACTTTATGCTTTAGCAGGGGCCGGGAAATGGATGAAATAGCCCCAGCGTATTAGTTCTGCTGATATGCCTGTTTGTATCCTCTGATGAAGTATTCAATATTGCATTAACAGATGTTCTTGTGTTACGTGTGTCCATTTAGGCTTCACACCACCAGGGATGGATAGATCCTCTCCTGAAAACAGCCCAGTTCATGGATTAGTACGGCAGACTTCTGTCACAACTGGAGCAAATATTCCCATCATAACAGAACTAGGTATGCTTGCTGCTGCATATTTGTTTCAGTTGATTGATATGCTAGCTCTGCTAGCTCTACTGTTGCATGTTTTTTTTAGTTAAGTAGTTGTTAACTGATCTGAGAACACAATTGCTGCAATTAGAAGCTGTCAACACTTGATTAACCGTACTAAAAGTGGAGTTTTTATGTTTTTTTGTCCCTTGTTGACATGCTCCAGTAACTGTTTTTCCTCAACACTTGTCTAGCACCATTAGCAAAGCCAGGCAAAAAACTGCCTGTGATTTCATTCAGTCAGGATAAGAGCAGTGGGACCTGCATACAAATGATAACTGAGCTGGGTAAGAAGTGCCTCTGTCCTGTACTGCAGTGTTGTAACTGCTGCTGCCTCCATATCAGCTTTCTTTTGATTTCTCTCGCTGCACAAGAGGCTCAGTCCATTCCCATGGCATCACTTTGAGCACATTTTACCCATGGTTCTGGTTGAAATTGCCTGTCTTGTTTTGGCCCCTTATCTCAAAGCAAAATTTTTCCCTTTTATTTTTCTAAGAATTACAAGGCCTTTGATCCCTCAGAAGTCCTTGTGGCTGTTTTCATAGCATCTTCTGTCGGATCACATTCTCTGGCCCGTGCCCTTCTTTCATCTCAGCCCTGTCGATGTGACTGACATTTATTTCTGTCCTCACAGAAGTAGCAGTTCTCCAACTAAATTTTACATCATTACTTTCTTCCAGCTACTGCATGTGTTTTTGTGCTCAGAGACATCTTCAAAGAAGGTTCTGGGGCAATGAGATACTTTCATTTGTTTTGACATGCTAGTACAAGTAATTGGAAGTTCGGTCTTGGATTTACAAGACAAACAATGGCATATTGGTGTTACTGATATTGACTTCAGGAGGACTTTGAATCGAGGCCTGGAGCTTTAACAATATGCATGGTGTCATGACTGTGCATGAATGGCCTGGATATGGAATGTGGCAGAGGCAAGTTGGCCACAAGGCCAGACACAAATACCAGACACGGTTTCATCTCTTAAATGGCTTTAAGAAAGAGAAAGAAACTACAATGTTGTCTAAATTTGTAAAGAGGAAATTAAGGAGAATTTGTTCAACCATACACTGATACAGTCCATATCTGCAGCTACTGACTGTTGTGCACAACCACTTTACTTTGTTTCCTCCTCCTCACATGAATCAAGTATTTGCCTGATGTTGCCTGACAATCCATGCTTTTCAAATCACAAAATAATTCCATGTGATCTGGTCTGTAGTGCAAAAAATGAACATGACGAATTTAAAATAAGTAATGAAATTAATGAAATTTACCCCCATAGTGAATGACTCGAATGTTCAGTTCCTGGACCAAGACGATGATGACGACCCAGACACAGAGTTATACCTCACTCAGCCTTTTGCCTGTGGGACAGCCTTCGCAGTCAGTGTGCTGGATTCCTTAATGAGTGCTGTAAGTC